GGGGGGGGGATTTTCTATTTCGTGGTCAACTCTGCTACCATCAGGGGATAAAACTCCCCTGCAAGAAGAGTAAAACCAATACGCCACAATTATTATTTCCCTCGTATAAGTGGTATATTTCTCAACGTCCACTATGCATCTTCTGTCTATGAGTTCAGTGTCGATCTGCATGCTTACTGAGAGTCTGGCCAAGCAAATAATTACCCCCGGAGCCCCAAAGTGCCCAAAGTATATCTGATCTGTCGTAAAACTCACACAAGAACAACGCAAAGAGACAACCTAGTGGGCCTTTATCGTCCCACATTCCAGTGTTTTGTGTAAGTAAGCACGTACGTGTAATAATGTGGGTTTAATGCTCATATCAAGACTTTTAGGTTATTTCAGAGGCAGAATGCATTGTATAAATAAGACGAGTACACGTATGAATTAATAGCCCCTATCAATACTATTAGGTTATCAAGAAACGCTATGTATGTATATAAAAGTAAGTACGTGTATGATCTTAACGCCCCTGTCAACACATTTATGTGAACTAAGAGACGGAGGTGTATATATTTGAGTGTATGGGTTTAACGCCCCTATCAACACTTTTTGGTCTTTACAGAGGCGGGATGTATTGTATAATTGAACGAGAAACCTCTCACCATGAAGGACTTGACGGGCAACATCTTGGAAAAGTCTCCCTGAGACAGAGTTTTACGCAGAAACTTGCGCCTGTCGGAAGTGACGTAGGAGTCTAAGCCCCGCCTCCCGAGTCGCCATGTTGTCCCGCCGCGCTGTTCCAAGGACCAGTTGGATAGACTGGAGCGACGTCTACCCTTCAGGAGCTGCGGCGGCGGTGTCCATTGGTGCTGTAGTTGTAGTTGCTGCTGCTGCTGTTGCTGGTGGTGATGTTGTTGTTGTTGTTGCTGGTGTAGTTGTTGTAGTAGTCTCTGCTTATGTTTCTGAGCTGTGAGCGGGTTGGTCTCAGAGAGTTTTGGGTGTCGTGAGACAACACTAGGTATGTGGTGGAGAGAGAAATCTAAGTTGAACGTTACCTCTTTCGATAATAAACGCTGACCTTTTGCTTTAGAACATTTTTTTCAAAACAAACACCAACTTCAAAAGACTGCCAAGAATGGAAAAGGTTATTAATATGCGAGGCATGCATGTATTCTTCTGCTTGTAGCGACCTAATTCTAAATACAGTCAGGGTCAGTCTTGAAACACAAGAGGTTACAGAAAGGCAGAGATGATGTGCACGCATGTGTATAAATGTATGTATGTGTGTGTATGTGTGTG